TGAATGGGAATCTGTCCTCAGTGTTTCAGCTAAAACACTGAGAAATTGTGTGTTGCAGCATGTCTGAGACTGATCATTATGGGGGCACTTAGTCTGAGCTTCGTAGCAAGCCATTGTTGTGAGGAAGGATTACATGTTGCATAGCAATGCTCTGCTGTGATCCCTTCTCCCTATGGCTCTTGTAAAGCCATTTGGGCAGGCGCTCCTGTGGTGCTATCTAATTTCCTCTTAACAGCAAGTACCAATAAAGACTGTTCAGCCTTGCTCTATCATAATTGTTTTCCTCATTGTGCCTTTGTCAGTATTTGGTATTCTCACGACAAGATCAATGGCAGTTTGTGTTCCTAAGTCAAACAAACTAATTTGCTCAAAGAGCTTTATTTTCCTCCCAAACTGTTCTCGTATTTGTGAGATTGCCAGACCAGGTGGTTGTTCAGAGGAGAGTGGGAGGACATAATTTCAGTATGATGCTATCCCTGACCAACTAGTTTTCTTAATTGCATTTTGCTTAGAAGCTCTCTACAGCATATACTATAATAAGGGTTCAAATGTGTTGTTACTCCCGAGTTACTATAGCTCTGCTGATGTGTGGTAGCTATGATGTATTTAAGCCATAGGGAGCATGAAATATTTTGTGCGTTGGATTTAAGGTAGTGCCTTTTGCTTCACATCTGTGATGACACAGAATCAGAATCAGTTTGGTTGGAAAAGACCTGCAAGATCATCAAATCCAACCATTACCCTAGGACTGTAATGACTACCACTAGACTATGTCACTGAGGGCCTCATTTACACTGTTTTTGAACACTTCCAGGGATGGTGACTCCACCACTTTCCTGGGCAGCCTGTTCCAATGCCTGAGAACCCTCTCTGTGGGGAGATTTCTCTTAATACCCAGTCTAAACCTTCCCAGGTGCGGCTTGAGGCTGTTACCCCTTGTCCTATCTCTTGTTGCATGGGAGAAGAGACTGACCCCACCTTGCTTACAACCTCCTTTCAGGTGGTTATAAAGAGCAATAATGTCCCCCCTGAGTCTTCTCCAGACTAAACAACCCCAGTTCTCCCAGCTATTCCTCATCAGACTTATTCTTCAGACCCTTCACCAGCCTTTTTGCCCTTTTCTGTACCTGCTCCAGTACCTCACTGTCTGTCTTGCTGTGAAGGGCCCAGAACTGAATACTGTATTCAAGGTGCAGCTTCACCAGCATTCATGTGGCCACTTACCTTGCTGTAAATGCAATGCGGTTATTTAATAAGTGGTGATGCCATGGGTGTTCAGGAGAAGTTCAGGTTGATGTAGGATGGAGGCAGATTAGGCTCTGAACAGTGATGTGCCTTGAAAAGAAAACAGGAGCTACCTCCAGCTCTTGAAATAAGCCTTTTTTTAACTTTTCCTTTATTTAAGAAAAATAAAAGGAGTCTTACTCTGCCTTACATACTCTAAAATCATTTAGATAATAAAAGCTAAATTATTCTACCCTGGGAGCCCCTACACATTTGAAAGCATGACCTAGACATTTACCCATTTGTCCCATGACCCAGCCAGAAAAGGTTTCTCCAACACTGCTCCAAGCAACCTGCTGACTCGAATAAGTCTTGCTCTGCTTCTTGGAGGAATGAGGTGGATTTAAGTGTCTCTGACAGGAGCATGAAATAAGAAGAGAAACATCTTTGTGGAAGCTGGAGAATGAGACTGGAAACAGAGGGGCTTCGCCAAGATTCATTTTGGCTTGTGGGTGGTTAGGGGCCTGTAGGCAGCAGTTCTCCATCATGCATCACCCTGAGTAGCTGCATCGTGACTGACAGCAGCAGGGGAGGCTGGCTGGGGAAGAAATTTTTCTAGTATTTTCACTATAGCTGCCTCGTAAAATTCTTGAGCCCTTCCCTATGCTTCAAGAAGAAGGTTTATGGGGCAGTTGGGATGCACCAAACTTGTACAGTGGCCATATGAAAATCCATATGCTGGATTTCATGAACTGATGCATTTATGAGAATGAGGACAATGGAAACCTTTTATGCTTTGGTCTACCAGCTCATGACATGTAAGCTGTCCTAGCCACTGCTTAACAAGGAGTTAGAAGTGAGTCAGGAAAAGAATGAGCTGGGAGTCATTAGGGGTTTTGTTCATCACTGTTTAAGCACAGAAGGAGAATAGGATTCATCTACTTAAATATATGCATTGGTACTCTTTGAGTACCAATTATGGTCCTTCAGGGGCAGTTGGTGAAAAGCTGTGTTTTACAGTACCCCAAATAATGCTAGATGCTGATATTTAGACACCTGCATTAGTCCCAGAATGTGGGATTCTCCTTGCAGTTTAAGATCTCTAAACTGAAGTGCCTCTGTGTGAGTTGGGTCCCTAGACTTGCGTAAGCAAGTAGAGATGTAGTCAGTCAGTGGAGCCTGAAGAGCTGCTCAGTGGAGCATGTGCAGGTGTCTGATTTGGCTCCACTGAGTCAGGCTGCAATTTAGAGGTGTTTCTCAAATGTAGGCATTTAAACTCAAACGCATGCCTTAGTTAAGTCAACCCCTAGTTTGATGGTGTGATTCAGGTACCTAAACCAGCACACCTGTTCCTGACTGAAGGTTTGCTGCCATCTGCTAGTTGCCAGTCCATCAGCATTTGTATCTCCCATTTGTAGTGTGCCATATCTACCAACCCTATGTGGATGCCTTAAACATGCTGTGTATGTATGTATTTTATATACACACAATACTTGCAATGTCAGCTTTCCCACTGAGCTCTGGAGAGGTGGCTACTGGCAAGAATAGCCCTGTCTCCAGGTTCTCTTCCTGTGTTTCATGACTATGCCATGTCCAACCAGCTCCAAATCCAGTCAAGCCTCTGCACAGGCGTGGGTCTACTGTCTGAGCCAGTTCCTGCTGGTGTCTTGCTTTCCCATCTCCTGTTCAACAGTGGTTGTCTCCTGTTCCAGGTGGAGCAGATGCAAATAGGTTGGTGGAGGTGGGAGGGTTGAGAAAAGGCTGAGCTGATGAATGACTGCAGTGTGCAGCCGTTCTGCAAGTACCCCAGCAATTTTTCCCAATTTGCTGATGGTCTGGGTGTGAAATCAGGTACAGGAGCTTTGTTTCGCATGAACTCAGCTCTCACTTCTGGACAACCAGTGAAATGTGACTTTACATAAGGGGTAGTATGGGTGAGGGGTTTAGTTTTCTTTCTTTTGGTGTTGAAACGTGTTCTGTATGCTCTTGTCTAACATTGTGGGATTTCTTGCAGAGTTGGCTAGACACTTTGGCATGCAGAGCGTGACAGCCCCTGACCAAGCCGGCCCAGCTGAGTACTATAAGCAGTAACACATCTCTCTCTGTAACCCGTCACTTGTTTGAATGCTACTGTGTATTATTGGATTGCATTTGAAAAGGTCTTGGCTGTCGCAGGAATGAAGTGTGACCATTGGCCAGGCTTTGCTGAAGGCCGTATTATGCATATTGTCTTTCTAAAAACATCTCTCTAATATCAGAATTGGACCAGACCCCAATTCTGAGTCCATGACCTATTGCACATTTGCACATGGTGCTCAGCAGGACTCATGCAGCCAAATAATTAGGAACTGGATGGTCAGGAAATGGACTGGAGCCAGTCCTCTGCTGTCATGAGGCCATAATGTATGTATTAGATGCCCTAATGGACAGAGGGGGGAAGATTTATTTTTTTGTTTTTTAAATACCATAGATCCCCCAAAGAAGGGCACTTTCAGTAGTACTTTGACAGGAGGCAGCTCTGTAAAACAAACTCTGGTCTAACTTGCTATTTTAAGGGGTGGTTATACCTTATGCATTTAAAATCCAAATGTAACCTATTCTGGGGGAAGGGACAGGGAGGGAGGACTAGAACTATAAATATCTGTTTATAATCAGTGGACAAAATGCAGGTTATTTGTGACTGTCCAAATAATATGTCTGCTCTCATGTTGCCCGTAGAGGAGTCCCAGGTATAAATCTCTTTCTGAAGAAGATGGTGGGGGGGGGGTGGGGGTGGGGTGGGTCTGTTTTCTGTTTCTTCACATCTTAATTTTTCAGAGAAAGGGAGGGCACAGAGAAGAATGAGGAAGCCTTAGGCTTCATCCTACATGAAAATGCACTTTATTAAACATGTGTGTGGCCAGCAGGCAATGAATCTTTTTGTTTTAAAAAATACATGCACGCTTCTTCATTACTAGCAGAAGAAAATTGACATGTCCTTTTGAACATACTACTGCACTCTGGAATAGAATCCTGAACACAGGATGGAGAGGCAGAAGCTGCCTGGATGTTTTTAGAGCTGCTGGTTTTGGTGAAGGTGAATTCGAGCTGTGTTCCTGAGAACTATGTATATATATGTATATATATTTCAGCTACATGAAGCTCAGTCACAAAATGGGTGGGATACTATACCTCATCGCTACTGGTGGAGACAACACAGCTTAACCATGTTTTCACTGAGCCTGTGCTCAGTGTGAGTTTACAGTGGTATCTGATGTGATCTGGTATGGAGAAAGTTCCTACTTTCCACGCTCATGTTCTGGAGCATGTGCCACACCATATGTGTGTTTGTGTGTGTTACAGCAGCAATCTCCCTCTTTTCTCCACTAAACCACCTCCTTCCATGGTTGTTACATCTTATCTCCTTGTTCTTGCTAAAATAAATAAGTGCTAAAAGTTGTATTGATCTCTTAGTTGCATCACAGCTTCCGACCTTTATCTACATAAATGAGTGCCAGCACCAGACAGCCTTTGTACGCCTTACTAGTATAATTAACTAGCCAATAAAGCATTATCCTAGCAGGTAAATATCATATTCTGTATTGTCATAACTGGGACCCTTCTGAAGCAAATATTTCTTGTAATATGTGTCCTCTGTCCTCTTTCAACATATATTTTTTGTACTGCCATTGACTTTGTGTTCCACGAGTGTCTTCTAGCATGTTTTGTTTTTTCCTCTGTAACTTGATGGTTTTCCCCCATAACTGATTTTATATTTGGGCTGTGTGTGTCTGCAGGTCATCAAAGCTGGAGTGGAGACAACCTGTAAATGCCATGGTGTATCCGGATCCTGTACTGTTCGAACGTGCTGGAGGCAGCTCTCTCCATTCCATGAAATAGGGAAGCAGCTGAAACAGAAGTACGAGACATCGCTCAAAGTGGGCAGCACTACCAACGAGGCCACAGGAGAAGGAGACATCTCCCCACCCAAGAAGTCCATCCCTGGTCACAGTGATCAAATCCCAAGGACTACGGATCTTGTCTACATTGACGATTCCCCAAGCTTCTGTATGATGAGTAGATACTCACCTGGGACTTCGGGAAGGAAATGTTACAAAGACAAGAACTGTGACAGCATCTGCTGTGGGCGAGGGCACAATACACAGAGTCGGGTGGTCACCCGTCCATGCCAGTGCCAGGTCCGTTGGTGCTGCTATGTGGAATGCAAGCAATGCACCCAGAGAGAAGAGGTTTATACCTGCAAAGACTGACATGTCTTCTGCTCAATGGCAACCCTTGGTGACGGGTGATGGCGATCTATAAGAACTGCATATGGAGACAAACAGGGTTTGATTGACCTTCTGGGATCTGAAAGCTATGTTGAGACATAAGCACTTTGTAGGGTACAGGTGACCCAGCTGTGTTGCTGTTTTGTTTTTGTTTTGTTTTGTTTTCCCGTAGACTGAATTTTAATGAGGTCCAACTTTGTGGAAATAAGTGCCTGTCACACTGGGGTTAGACACCAGTTGACCTTCACCTTAGTCTACGCAGTTTGATGGATCATTTATCCTTGGAATGTATTGATCGTTCCACCAACCCTCCATGAACTCCTGGGTTAGTATATTCTCTTTAACCCATACTACTTTATTCCTGAAGCTTACCCAGCAGGTTAGAGAGATAAGCAGCTAGGAAAGAAAAATCTGCTTCAAACATGATGGTACAGGAAGTGGTCATATATATCCCCTTCTAAAACTGGAGAGATGTGTGTAGGGTAAGCAGGAACAGGCCTGATGGCTCCTTTAAGGGAGTTTCTGCACATTGAGCAAATAAGGCTCTGACAAAAAAGACCCACTGGGAGGGTTAGCTTCTAATGACGGCTCCATATCCACATGCATTGATCACCAAATACAGCTCAAAAAATGTTGGGTCCACCATGTTACAAACAGAAATATATCCAAGAAAGAGGTTGGGAAGACTAGAAAACCAGATGTGCCTGTCCCCTTCAGTCCACTCACGTGTTCTTTTTCTACAACTGGTTTCTTCAAATGCAGTTTCTTTAGCACTATTGTCCTTTTTTTTTTTTTTAACAAAACCACTAGTTATTTTTTAAATTTTATTTTCACTTTGTGCATGATTTATTTTTCTGTCCTCTTTCCACCTCTTATTGATCAAATTCACCCTGTGGCAACTGCTTCAGAAATCTGAACTGGAACTTTCGAGTCTTATGCCAGCTGAATGTGGACACATATTTCTGAGTAGAACAAGAGAAATTCAAGTGCATCTTGGAACACAGTGGTGTCTTGCATTTTATAGCAGCCATTTTGGACTGGATCAGACCTCTGGAGGAGTTGACTTTTCTGTTACTAGGTCATCATTCCATTTACTCTAAACCATGGCAGTGGTACATCCACAAGCTGTATGTAAGCCCTATGACCTTAAGTTTTTTCTTTTTTTTTTTTTTTTTTTTAACCACTAGATTGAGGACTGTATTTAAAGAGTACAACTGCTAAATGGTAACTAACTCTTGGATTCTGAACAACCAATCGACACAAAGACAAACTGTCAAGTGGCCAGAGAAGCCACAAATTGACTGCAGTTGTAGATGGCTCTGATGCTGTGAAATAGATGGCAACCATCAGTGTTTCTTCTTTTGTTTGAAGAGGATACTTACAATCCAGGACTTGATGCAACAATGTTCTTCAGTCATATAAAAGTAGATTGGAAGCAGCCAGTGGATGCCTCAAAGAAGTTTTCTAAGGAAACATTGGAGAGCAGAGGGCATTTTGTTCTATTTTTGGTAGCAATTTTTGACTGTCCAGTAGTAGCAATTTCCACCAGTTCTATGTAAACCATTGATCTGGTTCTCAAAAGAGGAAAGCTGGCTGGAGTTCTTCAACTGGTAGTAAATGTTAGCCAAGCAGAAAGAGAGCAGTTTTCCAAGATGGACCATTATATTTCAAGGTGGTTTTAATTTTCCTTTTTTTTTTTTTTTTCTCCCAAAATAGTAGCCACTAATATTTAAGCTGTTCATGTGCATCTACTGGGAGGAGAAAAGATATGTTTAACAGATACCTGCAGTCCAGCCTGGCTTGTTGGCATGAAATCTTGAGGTGTGAGCATGGGGATGGACAGGATGGTATTGTTAATAGCGCTAAGGTCCTGCAAAGTGAAGTTGCTGTCTCTTTTTTTGCTGTTTGCTTATTTGCTGTACAATTCTGGAGGCTGGGGTAGTGCTGGAAAAGGAGGAACCCACATATGGTGTCTGTCCCTTCCACAGCAGCAAATGTGCAGCAGTGCATTCAATGCAGGGAGTTTGCAAGAAGGTCTCACAGCTTCTGGGAGATGCACAGCTTTGAGAGTCACCCACACGCAGTTTATCTAAATGGTTCAAAAAATAAACTGACTAGAAACCTATTATTCAGCATGTGTGTGTATATACACACACATGCCTTCACAAAAAAAAATATATATAAATATTGAATGAACATTTATTTATTTTAAAGCCCTTCAGAAGGACCTAGTAAATGGTTTTAATGTGGTATTATGTTAAATTGTTTCTCCCCCTGTCTCTCACACATATGTGCAAAGTCACTGTTACATTTTCGTGTGTGTGATAGAATAGCTCTTCCCCTCCAAAGTAAAGCCAGATCCAAACTTGCTCAAAATATGAGGATTTTGGGGTCTGAATTACTATTTCTGGCTCCACTCTTTAAAAAAAAAAAAAAAAGTTCTTAATTAAAGAATCAACCACAACTTATGTGCATTATTATTACTAATTATTGTTATATTTAAACCATGGGCCTCATTTTCCTTCTTTTCACTTGTGTCTCTGTCTCCATTGACCTCGCTGGAGTAACTCCACATTGCACTGGTGTGAGAGGAGAATAAGTCCCTAGATGTAGAAGAGAAGGCATTGTGGGCATAAATATTGTTGTGAAGAAAATGCCTGGGTCAGATGGGATAGGGTAGCTTGGTGTGTTTGGCAGCGGGGGGGAGAGAGAAATGGGTGGGCAATAAGACAGACTGTCAAAGCTTGACTAGAGGAAGGCAGCAAAGAGTGAATGAACTACTGAGTGAAAGAGCTCTTCTGTGTATTATAACTCACGCACTGAAGCCTGGATGCTTTCTGTAAGTATTTAAAAAAAAAACAAAACCAACAAAAAAACCCCCACAAAAAGCAAATTGTATTTATGTTAATGTGGATATATTACTTGCCTGTTATATATTGTAAATAGCAAGGTTTATTCTCCTGTGGTTAAAAAAAATATAAATAACTAAATAGTAGCGAGGCACATGTGTTAAATGTATAGGCAGTGTATAAAATATACTAACACTCTGAAATCAGGAGAACTTGTCTTCTTGGCCTTTTGACCTAGGGTGGTAAAACATATGTGGGTTATTTTTCTTCTCCCCCCCCCCCCCCCCCCATGTTATATGTGTGTTGGGTGTTGGGGGGTGTTTAGTTCCAGCATTTTCCAATGTTTGCCTTACCTTTGAAGAAAGAATGGGGGGAAAAGCCTCATTCTGGAAAAATCCAGTGGAGCTTGAGTAGGATGAAACAAGTAGCAACTGGTAGAAAAGATGTCAGACCCTCTCAAAATTCTCTCAGGTGCTTGACTTGGGTTTTCTGCTGGTAATAATGTGTGTTGGGATTGAATTAAGCCATGGAGCAGGAGTTTCTGCTTGTGTTACTCCATATGTGAGTTCAGAAAACCCTAGAGAGCAGACCCTGAAGCCCTCTATAAAACATTGGGCAGTGTCCTGTAAACCGCTTTTTATTCCAGCTGCATGAAATTGGATTTTTCCAGAGAGGCTGATTCTACCACTACATCACTGCATCTCTAGTGCAATTCAATTTAATTGCTCATTTTTGTTAAACTACTACAAGAATGGATTTGGGTCCCTGATCTTTCACAGTGTCATTTGATATATATATATAAAAAAAAAAAGTGCAAAGCAACTTTTTCCTTTTTCTTACCCCCATAGAAACAGGTTTTTGCAGCAGATGTAACTGGAGAAGGACAGATGGGTGACTGGGGGATTTTCTGGTTTCCTATCCCCTTTCACCCGTTGTCTCCCAAAAGTGTCAAAGTGTTGGTTCTCCTAAGCTGATCCAGCAAAACTTGTGAGATCAGTTTTGGGGTGGGGGGGGGTGGGGTGCAACCATTATTTATATAACTTTTTAATTAATTTTTTTAAAAGAGAAGTTAGTTGATGGAAGAATATTTTTATTGAATAGTGCATTTAGTTATGTCAGAAATATAAAAAATATATATAATATTTTTGTAAACAAGGCAAACTGAAAATGTTTGCTGTTTTATATTAGAATTTTCTATTAAAAGAAATAAAACCCCACACAAATAATTGTTGCACCCGTCATCTGTTTTTTAACAAGCTTCTGTTCTGTGTGACTGACTCATATATGCTGGATGTGGAGACATGCAAAACAAGTCCTAAACATTACATTCTCATTGTTTTCCAGCTCTCAAAAGACTCCAGTTGGTGAATCAACTAACAAAGGGGCACTTTTTTTTATTCTTGACACTAAAAATGAGTTATGAAGAATGAGTAGCTTGTGAATAAATACAAAAACCTACCCTGAAACTTCAAGCTTACCCTTTTTTAGTTATGCATCCTGGTTGTGAGATGGCTTGAAAGCCAAAACCTATTTATAATAACTAGATATTTGCTGTTGATCTCAGTTGTCCTGGGAAGAATGACTCTTAAAAAGGTTATGGGGGGGGGGGGGGGGGGGGGGAATAAAAGTCTGATACATGGGATGGTTAAATGAAGAGGACCAAATCCCAGGCTTGACTTAATATAAACAATTTTTATCTATTTGAATGGGGTAGTGTAAAACTTGGGAGCTGGGAACTTGGTCTGCTGTGGTTTAGGAAGCCTGTTGTTCACCTTGGGAAGCACCTTTGAGTTATGGACTGTTTTCAAAAGAGCTTTTGGAATTGAAGACCTGAGCAGGGGAAAGATAATTTCTGAGGATTTTTTTGTGGTCAGCCAGCTTGCACACATCTGCCTTCCTTCAGCCCAGGTCTTGAATTTCTTTGTTAATTGTTTTTCAGCTGCCCTATTTTAGTGAACATATATTAGGTTGGTTTGGCTGTGGTAGGGTTCGATGCGAACCCAGATGAAGGGACAGATTTCTCAAGGGTACTTTCATGGAGTAGATGCTGCTTAAGGTAATTTCCTGGTGGATTATAGTGCCTGTGAAAAATTCCTCAGTTGATGTTTCAGTAAAATTAGGTCTGTTCTGTGCTCAATAAAACAGGTGCAGCAAAGCTCTCCATTCCCGGTTTATTTGGCTCTGCATGCACATCTGTTGGGTAGACTCTGGCTTCTATGGTCAGCTAGTCCTGGTTTTCAGTTTTCAGAATGCTAAGTAGGTGATGACTTTTGGAGAGCAATATTGTCCTGCAAGAGAAATTGTGCCTTTTATGACCATTACTGCTCATGTAACTTGAAGGATGCTCAGTATGGCATAGAGTCAGGCCCATAGAAATCTGGCCATTGCTGAAGCAGTCAAGCTGAGGGCCATAGATATTAGTGTTGAATAGTTTTCAGATCTATTTTTCACTGATGTGCACTGGATTTGGCCAAGCTCTTTACAGGTGCCAGGAAAGAGAGTGTTTCTGCACACCAAAAAAAGGGAAATCTCTAGTACTTATGAGTGGAGAGGTAAAGCAAATGTCTATTGCAAGCACAGTTTAACTCTGGCAACATGGTAAGCTTCCTGTAACTACATTTATTCACATGCAGGGAGTGAGTAGGGTCTAAGTTAAGGCCGTAAATGATTTAGACACATAAAATTCATCAGGCTTTCTGAATAACACTGTTGTTGCTGAATGTTTTCAGAAATGGGTAAAACCCTTCCCCAGCAGCATTGGATAACAGGATTGATCAGGAAAGCTGGGACATGCTTGTTGTAGTGGGGCATTTGTAATGCTTCTGGAATTATCCCCCTTTAGATAAGGAGCCTCTAGAAGGTGTTTTGGACCAGATGGATGTGCCAGTTTGTCACCACTGACAATGGAAGAGGATAAAAACATAGACATGGAGGTTAATAGATGTTTATAAATGTGGGGATGAATTCAGGACTAATCAATGTATGTATGGATATCTCAGCCAGCTCCCTTTGGGCACAGACCTATCTGAAAGAGCAATCACCAAATTAACACAGGAATTTTCTTTTGGTCCGCCCCATCCCTAAGAATGCCCTTTGAGGCCTGAATGTAAAGTCTAGGATTTGTTTTGCACACCTGGGATGGCTTTTCCTTTTAAAGGGAGGTGGGAATACTAACATGAAGGATTAGTATTTTTCTTTTTGTTTGTTTGTTTTTTTTCTTTTTTCTTTTTTTTTCTTTCCAATGTCTTATGGGAGCCTAAGTTATTTTTCTCTACCTCATATGTACAGCTTGTAGGTATAAATCTGATTCTGAGTGACTGTTGAGAATGTATTTAAGTTATTTAACATCTTTGTATAACAAAAAAGCCAGAACAAATGAAACAATAAATGTATTTTAAATTATAGTTGATGTGTGCTCTTCTTTCTTTGCATCCTGAAGAACTTCTACGTTCAGTGGTTGCAGAAGTCCCTGTACTTCCCTCAGCACTAGTCTGGACCTCTGGTGCTGGAGCTAGCCTGTCTCTCCTCTGGGACTGGGGTGAGGGGAAGAAGGAATGCAAGTGAGTGAGTGCCCGAGTGGTTCTGAGTTACCGGCTGGGCTTAAACCATGACACTAATGTAAGCCCCAAAGACTTCTGAGCAGTATAATGTTAAACAAGCTCAGGAGGCTGATGGACTCCATCAGCTTTTCATGGGGTTGCATTAGTCATCATTCTTTGCTGGAGAAGTCATGATACTTTGGCAGAATGTCACTCTCATGATGTGATTGCAAAGGTACTCTGATCAAGTAACTGTCTGGAGCTCAAAATAGGGAGGATGTGGCCAAATTTAGTCTGGCTGAATGACAACAATTAAAAAAATTGTCATTATCCTGGGCTATGTGTTGTCTTGCTTGATCAAATGTCTTTTTCTTCACAATGGACCCCTGGAGATATTTACTATCTAAACTTCATTTTAGCTGAGCTTTAAATAACTAGAGAGTGTTGCTGTTCATCTTACAACTTAATAATGACTCAAACATGAGTGATTTGGGTTTGCAAAGCCTCTGAGAAATAACATGGTGCCCCATATGTGGATGCATGCAATGAGGTGCTGCTTCTCAGGACCACAGCTGTGGGATGGTTCACAGATACTACTCTTTCATGTGGATGAGCAGAAAGCTTAGAGATCAACCTGAGGTCCAACTGCTCAAGATGTTTAAAACAAAGAAAGAAACAACCCCACTGAAACCCTAGCCCTGGGGCCGACAAAACTTGTGGCAGAGAAGACCTTACTGAGATAGCAGGTGGTGGGCTATTAAGTAAGGGGCCGTTTAGATTAGTAGGCTACTGTCTTTTGAGGCAGGCAACCAGGCACAAGCATCCTATCATCTCCCTCAGTGGTCACCGTGTTAACATAAATATAACATAAAGGGGAGGGGTAAGAAAAATCACATGACCAATAATGGTAGTTCATCTGACAGAAAGTAACTTCCTACTCTGTGCTAACTTACTGGCTGTCACTCATATGTCCAGGTTCTCCTTCTCAATAGTTTGGCACCCTGTCAAGGCAGCAGGTCCAAATGATTCAAACAAGCTGCCAGCCAAGAAAAGCTGCTTGTCAGGCTGACTGGGCATGTGATAGAAGAACCAAACTTAGAATGAGCTTCAGCCACAGTTGTCCTTTCAGTCCTTTGGCAGACTTCTGTACATCCCAGGTTAGACTATTAAACAAGGGTTACTGTGTTCGTGATGGTGTGCTGGAGGACTTTGAAAACTCTGCCATATGTCTCCAAAGTGCTTTACAAAGTCAGAAGTGGTTATCCAATTCTCTCCTTCCCATGCGTGTAAAACTCTCGCATCTATTTTACCTTCTGATCTCATTTTCTGCTATGGTGCATGAATTGCATCCAGACATTTAATTAACCCCTTTAAGAGATGGCTGCTCTGTACTTTACACAGAATCAGCAGTGTCCATCGTCAAACAGATGTGCTGGTACCTTTATCCAGTATCATGGTAATGTTGGTATCATATCC